TGAAACCTCCCACATCGTCCCATTGCTCTTAACAGTGCAGTTTGCAAAGTAATGGAACGTCTAGTAAATAGACGTTTAGTGTGGTATTTAGAGACACACAACAGTCTCTCCACTCGTCAATATGGCTTTCGTAAGGGAACGTTCTACCCTAGACCCTTACTGCGCTTGGATACTTATGTTCGTAATGCCTTTGCGAATAACCACTCAGTTATTGCCATATTTTTTGACCTTGAGAAGGCATATGACACAACTTGGGTATAATATTTTAGCCCAAGCCCACTCCTTAGGCCTTCGAGGCAATCTACCATCCTTCCTTAAGAACTTTTTAACTGACAGCATTTCCGTGTTCGGGTTAATAATGTGCTCTCCCCGGACTTTATCCAAGCTGAAGGTGTCCCCAGGGATGTGTTCTGAGCACAACACTTTTTCTCCTTGCTATTAATGATTTGGCCTCTAGTCTTCCATCAAATATTTGGTCATCACTCTATGTTGATGACTTCGCTATTGCCTGTGCAGGCGCTGACTGTCACCTCCTTACAGTTTCTCTCCAACATGCAGTCGACCGTGTTTCCAAATTGGGCCACCACACATGGGTTTAAATTTTCCAGCACTAAAACCCACCAAATCACTTTCACTAGACGCTCTGTCATCTCCCATCATCCTTTGTACCTCTATGGCTCCCGTATCCCTGAACGTGATACAGTCAAGTTTCTGGGCCTCCTCTTTGATCGTAGGTTATCCTGGAAACCTCACATTACCTCTCTGAAGGCAACTTGTCACAGCGGCTGAACCTTCTTAAAACCCTTGCTCATCTTTCGTGGGGAGCTGATCGTCGAACCTCCTTCACCTACATTCCACCCTTATTTTATCGAAACTTGATTATGGTGACCAGATCTATTCAGCGGCATCTCCTGCTACTCTCTCTAGCCTTAACCCCATTCATCACCAAGGATTACGTTTATGCCTTGGGGCTTTTCGCTCTTCCCCTGTCGAAAGCCTCTATGCAGAAGCGAACGTTCCATCCTTATCTGATCGCCGTGATGCCCATTGCCTGCGCTACTATGTACGCTCTCATGATCTCCGCAATCCTTCCATTTATAGAATGGTCACTGATATTAGTAGACATTCTTTATTTGTTCGCCTCCCCTGCTTACTCCGTCCTTCTCTCTTCGCCTTCATTCGCTCTTGTCTTCTCTTCAACTACCACCTTTCTATGTACATGTAGCATCTCACTTTTCCCTACCCCCCTGGGAAGTTCCAGCTGTTCGAGTCTGTTCTTTCTCCCTCCCTTGCTCGAAAGCCCAACTGTCTACGGTCGCTTCCCGCTCTCTTTTTCTTGACCACTTTCACTCTCATTCTCATGCCATTGCTGTGTACACAGATGGCTCTAAGTCTTCTGACGGCGTAGGATTCGCAGCAGTGTTTCCGGACAGCGTCGTACAAGGGCATTTACTATCTTCGGCTAGTATTTTTACTGCTGAATTATATGCCATCCTTACAGCACTTATCCGTATTGCATCTATGCCTGTGTCATCATTTGTGGTTGTCTCAGACTCCCTTAGTGCTTTACAGGCTATACAAAAATTTGATACACCTCACCCCTTAGTCCTCCGTATCCAACTTTGGCTACGCCGCATCTTACCAAGCATAAAGATATTGTTTTTGTTGGGTCCCTGGTCATGTTGACGTACAGGGCAATGAACAGGCAGACACTGCTGCGCGGTCAGCAGTACATGACCTACCAGTTTCTATAGAGGTATTCCATGTACGGACTATTTTGCTGTAATATCTTCCCACCTTCACAACCGTTTGGCAACAACGTTGGTCTACTATGCTCGGCAACAAACTTCAGTCTATTAAACCGAGTATAGGTTACTGGCCGTCTTCTTATCACCAGTGTCGAGGTTGGGGGACTACTCTCTCCGTCTTCGCATTGGCCATACTCGTCTTACTCATGGATATCTCATGGAGAGGCGTCTTGCTCCTCTCTGTGAGAATTGCCAAGCTCCATTATCAGTCAGCCACATTCTGTTGGACTGCCCACTTTTTTCAACGAGCACGCAGAATTTACCTCTGTCGTCGTCTTCGCCCCGCTGCTCTCTCTTTACCTTCCCTTCTCGCTGATGGACCCACCTTTCATCCGGACTCTCTCATTGACTTTTTGACAACGACTGACTGACTTCACAAATTCTGATACTTTCAGCCCTTTCTACTTCAATCTCTTGCTACCCTCTACCCCCGTACTATCCCCAGCCCCGCTGTTTTCTGTAACCTGCTGATCATCCCCCTCCCTTCTGCCATCCAATTCCCTTGCTTCCTTCCCTACCCTGCAGCGCTGTATAGCCCTTGTGGCTTAGCGCTTCTTTTTTGATTATAATAATAATAATCTTAAGCATGTAGCTGTATAGCCCTTGTGGCTTAGCGCTTCTTCTTGATTATAATAATCTTAAGCATGTAAGCCTTAAGATTAGTTGCCTGAAATGTATTGCATTATTAGTGGATTTTTTTGTGCCAGTTATTGTACTGATTCATGTATCTACATTATTTATATGGCTCAGAGAAATAAATAATTATCATTATCAAAGCCCCTGGGAATGCAGAGCATTTCAAGCAGCCTTAAAAATAAATGAAAATGGATGAGGATATTGACGATAATAAAATAATTACTACTCGCATGATGCAGGACTGTATGTGGTAACTGATATCCACATGAAGGACTCCAGTGGAAATGTCATTTTATCTGTAATTTATACAGCATACATAACGGGGATTACCAACAGACCCCAGGCTGTCCTCAAGAATGCACTGGATAGGCACCTAGAGTCAGTACCTGACCAGCCGGGCTGTGGTTCGTACGTCGGGTTGCGTGCAGCCAGCAGTAACAGACTGGTTGATCAGACCCTGATCCACCACGAGGCCTGGTCTCAGATCGAGCTGCGGGGGCATTGATCCCCGAAGCCCTCTACAGCAGTAACCATGGTGTTACTGGGTGTCCTAGTACTGTGGTACCCTACAACCCAGCAGTAACCATGGTGTTACTGGGTGTCCTAGTACTGTGTACCCTACAACCCAACAGTAACCATGGTGTTACTGGGTGTCCTAGTACTGTGGTACCCTACAACCCAACAGTAACCATGGTGTTACTGGGTGTCTTAGTACTGTGGTACCCTACAACCCAACAGTAACTATGGTGTTACTGGGTGTCCTAGTACTGTGGTACCCTACAACCCAGCAGTAACCATGGTGTTACTGGGTGTCCTAGTACTGTGGTACCCTACAACCCAGACAGTAACCATGGTTTACTGGGTGTTCTAGTACTGTGGTACCCTACAACCCAGCAGTAACCATGGTGTTACTGGGTGTCCTAGACTGTGGTACCCTACAACCCAACAGTAACCATGGTGTTACTGGGTGTCCTAGTACTGTGGTACCCTACAACCCACAGTAACCATGGTTTACTGGTGTCCTATACTGTGGTACCCTACAACCCAACAGTAACCATGGTTTACTGGGTTCCTAGTACTGTGGTACCCTACAACCCAACAGTAACCATGGTGTTACTGGGTGTCCTAGTACTGTGGTACCCTACAACCCACAGTAACCATGGTGTTACTGGGTGTCCTAGTACTGTGGTACCCTACAACCCACAGTAACATGGTGTTACTGGGTGCCCTAGTACTGTAGTACCCTACAACCCACAGTAACCATGTGTTACTGGGTGTCCTAGTACTGTGGTACCCTACAACCCAGCAGTAACCATGGTGTTACTGGGTGTCCTAGTACTGTGGTACCCTACAACCCAGCAGTAACCATGGTGTTACTGGGTGTCCTAGTACTGTGGTACCCTACAACCCAGCAGTAACCATGGTGTTACTGGGTGTTCTAGTACTGTGGTACCCTACAACCCAGCAGTAACCATGGTGTTACTGGGTGTCCTAGTACTGTGGTACCCTACAACCCAACAGTAACCATGGTGTTACTGGGTGTCCTAGTACTGTGGTACCCTACAACCCAGCAGTAACCATGGTATTACTGGGTGTCCTAATACTGTGGTACCCTACAACCCAACAGTAACCATGGTGTTACTGGGTGTCCTAGTACTGTGGTACCCTACAACCCAACAGTAACCATGGTGTTACTGGGTGTCCTAGTACTGTGGTACCCTACAACCCAACAGTAACCATGGTGTTACTGGGTGTCCTAGTACTGTGGTACCCTACAACCAGCAGTAACCATGGTGTTACTGGGTGTCCTAGTACTGTGTACCTACAACCCAACAGTAACCATGGTGTTACTGGGTGTCCTAGTACTGTGGTACCCTACAACCCAGCAGTAACCATGGTTTTACTGGGTGTCCTAGTACTGTGGTACCCTACAACCCAGCAGTAACCATGGTTGTTACTGGGTGTCCTAGTACTGTGGTACCCTACAACCCAGCAGTAACCATGGTGTTACTGGGTGTTCTAGTACTGTGGTACCCTACAACCCAGCAGTAACCATGGTGTTACTGGGTGTCCTAGTACTGTGGTACCCTACAACCCAACAGTAACCATGTGTTACTGGGTGTCCTAGTACTGTGGTACCCTACAACCCACAGTAACCATGGTATTACTGGGTGTCCTAATACTGTGGTACCCTACAACCCAACAGTAACCATGGTGTTACTGGGTGTCCTAGTACTGTGGTACCCTACAACCCAACAGTAACCATGGTGTTACTGGGTGTCCTAGTACTGTGGTACCCTACAACCCAGCAGTAACCATGGTGTGTTACTGGGTGTCCTAGTACTGTAGTACCCTACAACCCAACAGTAACCATGGTGTTACTGGGTGTCCTAGTACTGTGGTACCCTACAACCCAGCAGTAACCATGGTTTTACTGGGTGTCCTAGTACTGTGGTACCCTACAACCCAGCAGTAACCATGGTGTTACTGGGTGTCCTAGTACTGTGGTACCCTACAACCCAGCAGTAACCATGGTTTTACTGGGTGTCCTAGTACTGTGGTACCCTACAACCCAGCAGTAACCATGGTGTTACTGGGTGTCCTAGTACTGTGGTACCCTACAACCCAGCAGTAACCATGGTGTTACTGGGTGTCCTAGTACTGTGGTACCCTACAACCCAACAGCATCAGTAACCATGAGTCTTACAACCAGGTTCTTCTCATCTCTGGCCAACAAGAAGAAAATTGATCTGTATTATGACGTAATATCACCGTACTCGTGGTTTGCATTTGAGGTAATGTATTAATATTTTGATCCTGATGAATATTATTTAATATTGAGGTTAAATATGATGCTGGCCATTTTACTTATAGTCTGTGGCCATTACACTTTATTAAGAGGCTTTCATGTTAAATATATAGATGCTGGTGAAGGAAATTTGATCCAAGGAATTGGACTTACTCTTCCCTCTTTATTAAATAGATCCTGATTGACTTTCTTTACCTGAGGTGAGTTTTATATTACTATAACCAGTATATTATGTTATAACTTACTTAAGGAGGTTCATTGATGCTGGTGAGGGGCTTTTGATCCAAGGAATTGGATCTGTGCTCCAGTTATCTGAATTGTACCATAATGCTTTCCATCCACCCCCCACAGGCACTGTATAATCCCTGAGGGTTTAGCGCTCTCCCATAATCGAATAATATATCATCATAAATGTCTAGTCAGTATATATAGGTATGTATGCTCATATATGTCACCTGACCTGGAGACCTGACTCAGTTGCTTAAAGATAAGAGTTTGTTCAGATTTGTAACCCCAAAGGGTTAGCTACCCAGGACAACTCAAGAAAGTCTTATTTCCATTGGGGTCTTCAGTGTTGTTCCCCAGGATGCGACCCACACCAGTCAACTAGCACCCAGGTCTGGGTACTTCCTTGCTAGGTGAACAGGACAGCTGGTGTAAGGAAACATCTCCAATGTTCATACCCTTACCGGGGATCAAACCAGGGACACTCACCGTGTGAAGTTTAGTTAGTTTAATATGTTTATTATGCACCCCATACCCATCCTGTGGGCGGTAGTCAGATAAGATAAGATTTCGTTCGGATTTTTAACCCCGGAGGATTAGCCACCCAGGATAACCCAAGAAAGTCAGTGCGTCATCGAGGACTGTCTAACTTATTTCCATTGGGGTCCTTAATCTTGTCCCCCAGGATGCGACCCACACCAGTCGACTAACACCCAGGTACCTATTTGCTGCTAGGTGAACAGGACAACAGGTGTAAGGAAACGTGTCGAAATGTTTCCACCCGCCGGGAATCGAACCCGGGCCCTCCGTGTGTGAAGCGGGAGCTTTAGCCACCAGGCCACAGAGGTACATAATTGGTCCAGGGACTGGACTCCAAAGTTTTGATAGCTGAGCAAGTTACAGAGGTAATGAATTCACAATTTACAAAGGTAATGAACTCACAAATTACAAAGGTAATGAACACCGTGTGAAACGAGAGCATTGCCTACCAGGCCACGGGCCACCTATTATCTTATATGTGTAGGTATGTATGTATAGGCTTTATATAGTACCACTGAACTTGACAGATCTCTTAGCTAGCTAGTAAAAAGACTGCTATAGAAGTACACTATTTAATTTTTAGTTTGTATATTTTTTGTGTTAATATATACATTTTTTGGATTTTATAATTTATACACTTTCATGTATCAGACTACTCTCCTGTATACTTGGCACCTAGGCACTAGCTGGTACATGTATATGTAGTTTTATTTAGGCAAGAAAGACACATGATAATATTCAATTGGAAAATCCTAGAGGGATTAGTACTAAATTTTCACATATAAAATCGCTCCCTATGGAAGCAAAAGACTCGACAGTGAAAAGTAGGGGTGTTACGAGTAGGCTAAAAGACAACATAATAGGTGTCAGGGGCCCAAGACTGTTCAACTGCCTCTCAGCATACATAAGGGGGATTACCAATAGACCCCTGGCTGTCTTCAAGTACGCGCTGGACAGACTCCTAAAGTCAGTACCTGACTAGCCGGGATGTGATTCGTATGTCAGTTTACGTGCAGCCAGCAGTAACAGCCTGGTTGATCAGGCCCTGATCCACCATGAGGCCTGGTCACAGATCAGGTCACAGGGGCATTGACCCCTCAAGAAGAGGTTTTTAACCCCTTGCTCTCAGCATTTTAGTTGGCTTTTATGACAAGCATGGCTTACGGAGGAAGAATTTTGTTCCACTTCCCCATGGAGATAAGAGGAAATAAGCAAGAACAAGAACTAGTAAGAAAATATAAGAGAACCCAGAGGGGTGTGTATATATATATGCTGGTACATGCATGTGTAGTGTGATCTAAGTGTAAGTAGAAGTAGCAAGACGTACCTGAAATCTTGCATGTTTATGAGTGAAAAAAGACACCAGCAATCCTATCATCGCATAAAACAATTACAGGCTTCCATTTTACACTCACTTGGCAGGATGGTAGTACCTCCCTGGGCGGTTGTCTACCAACCTACTATATGTACCTCTAATATACACATATATATATACAGTAGTTTGGAGATTAGGAGGAAGTTTGGGATTACCAAAACTATTATCCAGAGGGCTGAGGAGGGATTATTTAGATGGTTTGGATATGTAGAGAGGATGGAATGAAATAGAATGACCACGAGAGTGTATAAATCTGTAGTGGAGGGAAGGCAGGGTAGGGCTCGGCCTAGGAAAGGTTGGAGGAAGGGGGTAAAGGAGGTTTTTGTGTGCGAGGGGCTTAGACTTCCAGCAAGCATGCGTGAGTGTGTTAGGTAGGAGCAAATGGAGACAAATGGTTTTTAGGACTTGACGTGCTGTTGGAGTGTAAGCAAGGTAACATTTATGAAGGGATTCAGGGAAATTAGCAGGCTGGATTTGATTCCTGGAGATGGGCAGTACAGTGTCGGCCCTCTGAAGGAAGGGCGTAATGTTACAGTTTTATAACTGTAGTGTAAGCATGCCTCTGGTAAGACAGTGATGGAGTGAACGATGATGAAAGTTTTTCTTTTTCGGGCCACCCTGCCTTGGTGGGAAACAGCTGATGTGTTAATAAAATATATATAAAGTTTATTCAGATATACCTAAATACAGTTACTTAGAATTATCATACATAACAGCATATGTGTAAAGTACCTGGGATAACCTAAAAAGTCAGACAGAGTGACTTATTTCCATTGGGGTCCTATATATGTAATGTATGTATATGTATGTGTGTGTGTGTGTGTGTGTGTGTGTGTGTGTGTGTGTGTGTGTGTGTGTGTGTGTGTGTGTGTGTGTGTGTTGGTGAGTAATTTACACAATATATGATAATTGTAGTGAATAAACTTACTAAATAAACCTATACCTGAATAACCTTACTTATTCACCTCAATACACTAATAGTTTGGCAGATACCAACCTTATATATATTTTAGTTAACACTTCTCTTTTTATAAATTTGATTAATTTCTTTCAGGTTTTGATGAGGTACAAGAATTACTGGAATGTTGATATTAAGCTTAAACCTGTATTACTGGCTGGCATTACCCAAGCAACAGGCAACAAGGCACCAATGTTAGTACCAAATAAAGGTTTATACATGACTAAGGATCTGATACGATGTGCAACTTACTTCAATGTTCCTCTAAACTTAGTCAAGGTATAGTATTTTTTTTCATCCTTGTCTAGTCATTTCTGTATTATTATTATTATTATTCTTATTATTCTTTCTTTCTTCCAACACACTGGCCGTATCCCACCGAGGCTGGGTGGCCCAAAAGGAAAAACGAAAGTTTCTCCTTTTACGTTTAGTAATATATACAGGAGAAGAGGTTACTAGCCCCTTGCTCCCGGCATTTTAGTCGCCTCTTACAACACGCATGGCTTACAGAGGAAGAATTCTGTTCCACTTCCCATGGAGGTAAGAGGAAATAAACAAGAACAAGAATTAGAAAGAAAATAGAAGAAAACTCAAAGGGGTGTGTATATATATGCTTGTTGTATGTGTAGTGTGACCTAAGTGTAAGTAGAAGTAGCAAGACGTACCTGAAATCTTGCATGTTCATGAGACAGAAAAAAGGACACCAGCAATCCTACCATCATGTAAAACAATTACAGGCTTTCGTTTTACACTCACTTGGCAGGACGGTAGTACCTCCCTGGGCGGTTGCTGTCTACCAACCTACTACCTAGACTAATTATTATTATTATTATTATTATTATTATTATTATTATTAAGAAGGAGGGGTGTTAACGTTGCATTTTAAAAACTGTAGTGTAAAGCACCCTTCTGGCAAGACAGTGATGGAGCGAATGATGGTGAAAGTTTTTTTATTTCAGGCCACCCTGCCTTGGTGGGAATCGGCCAGTGTGATAATAAAAAAAAAAAAAAAAATTGGGAAACCAGTTAGCAGGACTTGATTCCTGGAGATGTGAGGTACAGTGCCTGCACTCTTAAGGTGTGAAGATATTTGGAGGAGCATCTGAACTGTAGTATTGGTACACCTCTGACAAACAATGATGGAGTAAGTGGTAGTAAAAGTGTTTCTTGTTTTTTGGGTCACCCTGCCTAGGTGGGAGACTGCTGGTGTGTTAAGAAAATATTATTATCATTATTATTATTCATGTGGAAATGGTAAAACTGTATGCATTATACAGTGCCCACTGAGGCAGAGGAAGCTTCATTGTGTTCATCAAGACTCAACCAGTGTATCAACAGACAAGAAAAATACAGTAGTACAAAAGATCGCTTTTATTTTAATTGTGTGTATTGGCCCTTCTTTAAAAATTATAGTTTTTGCTTTCTAAGTTTTCCCATTTGTGAAAAAAGTGATGTTTTTAAGTTGTGTTCCTGATATCTGATGATAATACTGATGGAATTGTTATGTAAAGATACATAAAAATTACTACCATTGGGTTTACCATTGTTGACCTATTATAAAAGTCTGAAGTTATTATTATTCATTATTATAATCAAAACTAAGCGGTAAACCCACCCGGGTCATACAGTTCTGCAGGGAGGGTGTGTGAATTGTGTAATTGCTTGATCTTTAAACTATCAAGTTTTGGGACTGTTTACGGAAGTAGAGTTTGAAAGGCCGGTGAGAGTGCTAATGGAAGTATAATAAGGTTGTGAATAAATCTGTTGCTGTCAAGAAAGTCAAAGAGGGAATAAAAAGTCTGAAGCTTCAATTAAGCAAATATTCAGCTAATTTATTCATGTGTCTCAATGATAATACTGTTGTCTGATAATATCACTAGATACTTCTTTGTCAACACTTAAAATTGGAAAAGTTTAATAAGTATCTTTAATGAAACCTCTATGGGCAGGTACATAATGATGGTTAAAACCTCACGCCCCTTAAGAAGGCACTCAGTGCTGCTATTATTATTTATTTTACATTCAATGGGGAGTGCTTGGAGAATCAGATATCATTTGATCCAAGTGAGAAAGGGCAATTCAGTTCCTTGATCAATGCCCCCCACATCCAGACCTCATTGGGAGGTTAAATTTAAGGGCTATTCATTTGAAGGGAAGGCCTTCGGTCAATCCTGATTATTTTTATTCTACACTAATAACTTGGAATAAACTTGTAAAAAATACCAACAAGTTGGTATAGAAAAACGGAAGCAAACACTAATACGTATTTATTAGAAAATGTTTTGGTCCTGGGACCTTGATCACTTCTAACATACAGAGGTTGAAAGACAGTATATATAGGCAGAGTGAGGTGTGAGTGTCGCATGGTGACCTGAAGAGTGCCATATTGGGACGAGGCTGGGTAGATGATGAGATCATGTGACTCCTATGTTGTTGGGTAGGTGGTGCTTTGCTCAGTTGAGTATCATGTATGCTAATGTTTTAGAGATTTTGTAACTTCCAGTGTTACACTCTATGGTGTCAGTGATGGCGATGAGCAAGGCTTCCAGACATCGTTAGCATCTAAGGTCATGTAAATAACATGTATGGGTTTAGCAATTTCCCATGAATGAAATACAGTATACACTTCACATTGCTTATTATTTTATAGGTTTTTCACATTTATCTTATGTGGCAGGTGTCTGGCATTTTAATCCATCTCTCCATCTCACGTAATTTGGTCAATTCAAATTTTCGTTTAGGGATTTACAGTACAACAGCAGTTTTAAACTAATTTGTATTGTTTTCAGAATGCTTTTGAGTTGATAATGGTGAAAGGATCACTCGTTCCAAGTCGCTTTTTGACAGCCATTGATCTCCTATACCCAGAGCATTTGGAAGGTGTTACTCGGGCATTGTGGATGGAAGTCTGGAACAAGGTGAGTAAAATAATATTAAAAAAAGTAAATAAATACTGCAAGTTAAAGTATCTAACACTGCATGACTCCTGAAGGTTTAGTGTTCCCTATGAATACAATAACAATAATAGGAGTGAGGTATTTCAGTCTGCAATTCCTGCAGCCCACTACCCATGCCAATGGAAGCACTTTCATCCTCACTGTCACTATCTGTTGCTGGAGTTGGGTTCCATGATGAACTATGTCCCTTTAGGATAGCAGTGGCCACACTACCAGATCGTGTGTGGCTGTGTATATTGACTGTTCATAGGCAAATCATTTTATTACTATCACTGGACTGGCCATCGATTGCTAGGAAATTAAAGTTCATATCATTATCATCATTACCACTTGCATCATCTGTGCCCAAGCCATGGCAGAATGAGCTTTTGCTTACGGCATGGACAGGTTCTAGATGACCCAACCCCACACATGGATGGCTGTGGGTCATTACAGTTTGTAGCACTATTTCCAACATCCTGTGCATAACTTTTGGTCATTAAAGCAGTCCTGATTTCTTGTAAGCTGCCCACACTGACTGTACAGACCCAGTCTCCTATGGATAGTCCTACCATGACTCTTGTGCCAAATTTGAGGCTGCAAGAATTTATGCATAGATCTATGCAAGTAATGTTAGTGTCAGCAATATAGATGTACATGGGAGAGAGTGAAAGGGTTAAGGACTTTATTCCACAAATGTGTAAAAGAAAGCATTGGAGAGTTAAGAAAAATAAAGAAAGGGCTTAGAAACAGTGTGGGAAGTGAAGCAATCCAGAGACATATTAATGATATAAACAAGCCAGAAATGAATACATGAAGGTAAAGAGGAAGGAAGAAAGGAACTTTGAAAAGGAAATAGTAAACAAAATCAAGGTGGAACTAAGTTTATTTTTTCCTTGACTTTGTAAAAGAGTGAACTAAAAGTTAAAGACAACATACAAAATATTAAGAATGGCAACACAGTCAGTGAAGGAGAAAATGTGTGAGATGCTGTGTTAAATAGGAAGTTTCAGAGCACTATATTTTATATGTAGTGGATTTAAAATCCAAACATAATTTGAGATAGAGGATATTGAGATAACTGAAGTAATAGTAAAGAAATTGTTACTGGATATTGACAGAAAAAGCAGTGGGACCATCCAGATGAGATAGTGAAATGGGATTAAATGAATGTGCAGAAGTGAGCTGTTCCTTTAAAAAAATAAAATTATGATTTCACTTTACAAAGGAATATTGGCAGACAAATACATGTGCCAATATTTTAAAAAGATGACAGGCAAGACCCTTTAAACTGTAGGCTGGTTTCAGTGACAAAATGTTGTAAAAATATTGGAAAAAGTCATTAAAGAAAAGTGATAAAGCACATGAAGGAGAACAAACTACACATAAATAAACAGTTTGAGTTTTTGTTGAGAAATTCTTATACATATATCAAATCTATTAAGATATTTTGGCAATCACAGAAATTGTTCAAGGACAGAATGGATGAGCACATTGTATTTATCTAGATTTTAAGAAAGCTTTCATAGAGTTCCCCATGACAGACTAATTCAGAAACTCTAAACCTAGGAGGAATAAAAGTTAAGTTATTAAAATGGACAAGAGACTTTATGAGAGAAAAATGCCAAATTATGGGGAGATGTCACAAGTGGGTGCTACAAGGTTTTGTACTTGCCCCAATAATGTTTTTAATTTATATAAATGATTTATCAGAAGGAAAAATAAAACAACATGAACATGTTTGCAGAAACAGAATTTTTTTTTATTAACACACTGGCTGTTTCCCAGCAAGGCAGGGTGACCCAGAAAAGAAGAAACACTTTCATCATTCACTCCGTCACTGTTTTGTCAGAGGTGTGCAGTTTTGTTAAATAATAAAAATGACTAAATCTCTTCAGGAAGACATGGATTATGAGTAAATGGAGCAATAGATAATGGAATTTCATGTACAGTAGATAAGTGCTGTGTAACAGAAATGGGAGGGAGTGAAATCAGGCTGTATGAAGAATGTGATAAAATATAGAAAATGTCAGGTAGATAAAGAGACCTAGGAGTGCGATTCGAGTTGGTTTGCCGGTTCTTCTGGCCCGGGTCTTCTCCATATGGCGACCCGGCGGTGGCCCCCCAGCCTAGGAGTTATTATTTACAAAAGTTTTTCACCTGACACCCGATCATATAAAAGAAATTGTGAGAAAGTCAAATACTGCTTTAATGAATTATAAAATGGTTTTTAAATATATGGATGGAGAAATGCTCAAAAAAAAAAAAAAAAAACTAACATTAAGCCAAAATTTTTGTTTGCAGCAGTAGTGTGCCCACACCTTAACCCTTAAATGGTCCAAACGTATATATATGTTCTCTAGCATAGGGCCCCAAACATATATGTACGTTTCATTTGTCATTCATTCAACATTGGCACGATAGGCCTGAGTTGCCTAGACATGAGAGAATGGGTGTGCACACTCAGTGTGCGCCATATAAAAAAAATTGGGGATGCCTGGGTGCCACATGCTCTTTTTTCCTATAAAAAAAATTATTTTTTTTCTCAAAATATTTGGGGCGCTGCACAGGTGAACGTATATATATGTTTGGACCGTTTAAGGGTTAAAAACATGGGGATAAATTTAGAAAAAGCCCAAAGAAGTTACAAAATGGTTACTAGTTGAAATAGATAAGTTATAATGAAAGACTGAAAGTACTAAAGATGCCCACATTGACTGATAGGAGGAAGAGAGTGGATGTGTTAATTACATATAATGTTGCTAAAGGACATAAAAGATTAGATAGAGGATATTTTTGAATTGCAACAGGGATAACAAGAGGACGCAGTTGCAATTTATAAAAAAGTGGAATCAAAGGGATACTAGGAAATTGTTCTTCAGTAGAGTGGCAGATCAATAGAATCAATTACAAGAGGATGTAGTTAAGTGCTTCAACTACTGGAAGGTTTAAAATAATTATATGATGAATTATTGAGGATGGGGCACCACATTCACAGGTCTGCTCCTGTGGCTACAATTATTATTATTACATTCATAACTAAGCACTAAACCCACTAGGGTCATACAGTGCTGTCTGTAGGTACAAGTCAGTACAGTAATTACACAAGCAGTAACTGGAGACCTTATTTAAGACAATGTTATCTTTAATAAAATTTCCAATTGCTCTTTGTGTATCTTTTTCATCTATAACTTGTTAGTATTCCCATACCATCTGTTATTTTATGTAATGTATTCGCTTCAACTAGTTTTTACCTCAGGAATAATGTTATTGCATTAACCTAGAAACAAAGGAAATTAGACTTTTTGAATATTTTAAACATAGCAGCATTCCACTAATGCTGTATTTTAAAATAAAAATGGCTAAACTTATTTTGAGATAACTTTTTACAAATTCCAAATGTATTCTATTAATACCAAAATATTTAAACAAATTTTCACTCACAGGATCACGATTTTACAAGTATTGAAACATTAAAGGAAGCCGGGGTGGCTGCTGGTGTTACTCCGGTGCAGCTTGCACACGTTCAAGAGTATATGACACAACAAGCCACCAAAGACCGTCTTCGAGCATATACTGATGAAGCAGTCCAGCATGGAGTATGCATTCATGATTGTTTTTTCTGTTTGCTTCATTCCTTTCATTTGTGTTGCAAAATTTTTAAAGTGAAAAATTGTCATAGAGAATTTGTGCTTTTTTTATGTTTTTCTGAAATAGGATATGTCGCATAAAGATAAACTGGAAGAAATATATTGCACAAAATATAAATAGCAGTCATCTATGGAGCAGGGAGGCTTGAAATAAAAATGTTGGTTTACCACACACTACACTCTCCACTATCCCATTCACCATTTTCCTCAACCATTATTATTGTAATAAAGTTGGTATAATTACCGACAATATGTAAAGTAAAAGGACACAAGTGCAACTAATGTGACATTTATTGTGGCAACGTTTCGCTCTCCAGGAGCTTTATCAAGCCATTACAAACAATACATGGACACAGAGGGTATATAAAGGCTCAGAGTGAGGTGTAATACTAGTGAGGTACCATTTTGATGTTCACTAGTGGTAGTAGTAGTAGTGGTAGTGACAAAAGTAATACAATATGGTAGAGCAATTAATTTGTACATGAGTAAAAGGATATAAAAGCTATTACTTGGGTAACATAAAAATAGGTTGGACAAATATAGACTGGAAAGAGGCAGCTTGTTTCAGTGTTCACTCTCTGTGCTTTGTGTAGTATAACAGGAGAGACTATGTGATGGCAGGGTTTACTGTTTTCAGGAGGATTCTTGCTCGAATCAGCACTGATCGCTGTTTCGAATACAATTAAACAAAACAACGGCAGCTTCACCATCTCCGAAGTCTTAGCAAGACTCCTCCTGAAAACAGTAAACCCTGCCATCACATAGTCTCTCCTGTTATACTACACAAAGCACAGAGAGTGAACACTGAAACAAGCTGCCTCTTTCCAGTCTATATTTGTCCAACCTATTTTTATGTTACCCAAGTAATAGCTTTTATATCCTTTTACTCATGTACGAATTAATTGCTCTACCATATTGTATTACTTTTGTCACTACCACTACTACTACTACTACTACCACCACTAGTGAACATCGAAATGGTACCTCACTAGTATTACACCTCACTCTGAGCCTTTATATACCCTCTGTGTCCATGTATTGTTTGTAATGGCTTGATAAAGCTCCTGGAGAGCGAAACGTTGCCACAATAAATGTCACATTAGTTGCACTTGTGTCCTTTTACTTTACAACCATTATTATTGTCACATTTTTCTTCTCCCCAACAATTTAATTCTAAGGCATTATTTTGGATTAATTTAAGGCAGTATTTTAGATCCACTAATTAGGATGTATTATTTGATGAAAGATATAATATATACAGAAAGTGCTGTAACATTTATGAAATTGGTATTCAGTAGCTTATTCTACAAAAGGGAAGGGGGGAGGTAAAAGAAGAAATATTTAAGAATAGTTTGATGGCAGGCACTAGAGAGCTATGAAAAATAGAGGACTTTGAGTCAGTATAGGAAGTGGGTTAGTCCTGAGATAAATCAGAGATACAAGCAAGCCAGAAATAAATACATAAAGGTAAGGCAGGAGGTTGAAAGGAACCTTGAAAAGGAAATAGTAGACAAAAGCAAGATGAAACCATATCCTTTAATCAAATTTGTAAAAAGTTAATTAAATGTTGAAGACAGAATACAAAGAATTAAGGATGACAACAAAATCATTGAAAAGAAAGAGCAGATATTTTATATACATACATGTAGCAGATTCAGGGAATCAGTTAGCCGAACTAGTCCTGGAGGTCGGAAGTACAGTGCCTGCACTCTGAATAAGGGAAGTACAGTGTCTGCACTCTGAAGGAAGGGTGGAGGTGGGAAGTACTGTGCCTCCACTCTGAAGGAGGGGTGAAGGTGGGAAGTACAGTGCCTGCACTCTGAAGGAGTCCTGGAAGTGGGAAGTACAGTGCCTGTACTCTGAAGGGAGGGGGGTGGAGATATGTTGCAGTTTTTGAACTGTAATGTAGGCATGCCCCTGGCAAGACAGTGATGGAGTGAATGATGAGTGTTTTTTCTTTTTTGGGTCACCCTGCCCCGGTAGAAAATGGCCACTGTGCTAATAAAAAAAATAGCAGATTTAATATCCAAATCGATATTTGAGGTGGGAGACGGCCGACTTGTTGAAAAAAAAAAGTAAGGAAATTATTACTAGATGGTTGAAACAATAGCAATAGGAAATGATGAGAAAGCAATATGGATTTTAACAATGTGCAGAGAATTATAGGTATCCACTCTGAATTTTTTTTTTTTTTTTTTTGTAAGATTTCATTACAAGAAGGAAAACTGGAAGGCAGCACACATTGTGTCAATATGAAAAAAAAAAAGATGCACTTTTTATAACATGTCAGGCCCACCTTGAAGTATGTAGCACTGGTATGGAACCTGCACTTGAAAAAGCATATTAAGAAACTGGAGAAAGTACATAGGTATGTAACAAAACTAGTTCCAGAGCTATGAGGAGAATCTAATGACATTGGAGGCCAGAACCAGAGAAAATATTGTAACAGCATATACTCAGGGGAATTGAGGTAGACAGGCTGTTTGAGAGATGAGAAATAGGTACTGGGAAGCACAGCTTTAAGTTTAAGACAGATAATTCATATGGGGTGTCAGGAAGTATTTCTTCAGTCTGAGTAGTCAAGCAGTGGAATGATCTCAATAAAAAAGTGGTGGAGGCAGGCTTTATACATAGTTTTAAGAGCAAGTATGATAGGCCCATGAGGTTAGGAAGAAGTAAATCTGGTAGTTGGTAAGTTGAGGGAAGTGGCCAGAAGCCAGGACTCCACCCCTGCAACCACATGTAGGTGAGTACATAGGTTCTTGATCCCCTAACCCTTGTGAATGTAGAGGGCCTCCTGTACATGCAAGATTTCGGGTACATCTTGCTACTTCTACTTAGGTCACACTACACATACATGTACACGCTGGTGGGAGATAGCCGACTTGTTAAAAAAAAAAATATATATATATAATATACATGTGTATATATATACACCTACCATCTGACTTACGACCGGGTTCGGTTCCGAGAAACCGGTCGTAAGTCGAAATGGTCGTAAGTTGAACTTTACTACTGAATATCAACAAAACATTTTTGTAATGACTTTATTTTATTGTTTTATTTTGGTATTTCATGTTTTACTTTACTTTTTATGCTGTTAGTACTGTATTTTATACTGTAAGGTTTAGGATAAACACTGTGTACAACACAAATAGTTGTTTATTTCCCAGAAATTTGGCATAAAAAACACGGTCGTAAGTCGAGTGGTTGTAAGTCGGATGGTAGGTGTGTGTGTGTATATATATATATATATATATATATATATATTTTTTTTTCAACAAGTCGGCCGTCTCCCACCGAGGCAGGGTGACCCAAAAAAGAAAGAAAATCGCCAAAAGGAAAATACTTTCATCATCATTCAACACTTTCACCACACTCACACATTATCACTGCTTTTGCAGAGGTGCTCAGAATACAACAGTTTAGAAGCATATACGTATAAAGATACACAACATATCCCTCCAAACTGCCAGTATCCCAAACCCCTCCTTTAAAGTGCAGGCATTGTACTTCCCATTTCCAGGACTCAAGTCCGATTATATGAAAACCGGTTTTCCTGAATCCCTTCACTAAATATTACCCTGCTCACACTCCAACAGATTGTCAGGTCCCAAGTATCATTCGTCTCCATTCACTCCTATCTAACACGCTCATGCACGCTTGCTGGAAGTCCAAGCCCCTTGCCCACAAAACCTCCTTTACCCCCTCTTTCCAACCCTTTCGAGGATGACCCCTACTCCTCCTCCCTTCCCCTATAGATTTATATGCTTTCCATGTCATTCTACTTTGATCCATTCTCTCTAAATGACCAAACCACCTCAACAACCCTCTTCTGCCCTCTGACTAATGCTTTTATTAACTCCACACCTTCTCCTAATTTCCACACTCCGAATTTTCTGCATAATATTTACACCACACATTGCCCTTAGACAGGACATCTCCACTGCCTCCAACCGTCTCCTCGCTGCTGCATTTACCACCCAAGCTTCACATCCATATAAGAGTGTTGGTACTACTATACTTTCATACATTCCCTTCTTTGCCTCCATAGATAACGTTTTTTGACTCCACATATACCTCAACGCACCACTCACCTTTTTTCCCTCATCAATTCTATGATTAACCTCATCCTTCATAAACCCATCCGCCGACACGTCAACTCCCAAGTATCTGAAAACATTCACTTCTTCCATACTCCTCCCCAATTTGATATCCAATTTTTCTTTATCTAAATCATTTGATACCCTCATCACCTTACTCTTTTCTATGTTCACTTTCAACTTTCTACCTTTACACACATTCTCAAACTCATCCACTAACCTTGGCAAATTTTCTTTAGAATCTCCCATAAGCACAGCATCATCAGCAAAAAGTAACTGCGTCAATTCCCATTTTGAATTTGATTCCCCAAAATTTAATCCCACCCCTCTCCCAAACACCCTAGCATTTACTTCCTTTACAACGCCATCTATAAATATATTAAACAACCATGGTGACATTACACATCCCTGTCTAAGACCTACTTTTACCGGGAAGTAGTCTCCCTCTCTTCTACACACCCTAACCTGAGCCTCACTATCCTCAAAAACTCTTTACAGCATTTAATAACTTACCATCTATTCCATATACTTGCAACATCTGCCACATTGCTCCTCTATCCACTCTATCATATGCCTTTTCTAAATCCATAAATGCAATAAAAACTTCCCTACCTTTATCTAAATACTGTTCACATATATGCTTCAATGTAGACACTTGATCTACACATCCCCTACCCACTCTGAAACCTCCTTGCTCATCCGCACTCCTACATTCTGTCTTACCTCTAATTCTTTCAATTATAACCCTACCGTACACTATTCCTGGTATACTCAGTAAACTTATTCCTCTATAATTTTTACAGTCTCTTTTGTCCCCTTTCCCTTTATATAAAGGGACTATACATG